TGTGTGTGTGTGTGTGTGTGTGTGTGTGTGTGTGTGTGTGTGTGTGTGTGTGTGTGCGCGTGCACTTTTTTTTCAGTACATCTTTAGGTTTCTCTTCCAGTATTATAACGCAAGAAACAAGTGGTTTCCAATAATTTAGGAAGAAAATTTATGTATTGTTGTTGTTTTTATTTGTGGTTTGGGTATACAGTATAAATATTGCAAAACCTGAATGTGAGTCTAAATCTATTTTAAAACATTTTTCATTATTATAATCCACAGTTATTTATTTGACTACTGAAATGCTAAGTCATTATTTTGAGTATAAACATTTCTTATTAAGTACTTGAAGTTTCATGGGCAGTCTTGAATGTGACTAACTCCTAATCTGAGAAAATATCCAAACAAGCATCTGAAAGGCAATGACGATATATTGAAAACAGAGGAGCTGTTACCTGGTTAGCTACAAATATTGASAGTGGAATTATTTTTGATGGCAAAGCAGAAACAGAGATGAAGAAAACAGCAGCATTACACTGCATAATTGCATGTTTTATAATAATGTTTAACTCACTTCTATTTACCTGTAAATGTAGCTGCTGTACAAATACAGATCAGTGCTGTCATAAAATGGAAATATCATGTTCTGCTGACTAGAATTCACATAGAGAATGACTCTAATCTGCTTACAGCGTATGTATAAATTCTCTGCTTATATAACAAATCCTCAAAGTGATTGAGCTGAAAATCGGAGGACGTCTCAACATTTGTCTTTTTCTTTAATCCACATCAAAAACATTGCCTTTCATTACAAGATAGCCTGGTTCTGAATAAAGAAGACAATAGAAACAATTCAAAACAATCCAAAATCAATTTACAAAATTATAATTTATTTAAAGGCAGTTATAAAACTATAATATTTTGGTATCTTCTTTAACTAATAGGTATTTTTTGTTTTGCTTTTTAGAAGAGCAAGGCATCAAAATCTAAAAAAGGGGCACAAAACCTTCTTTTGTACACGTATTTCAATAAATATGATGACAAACTTACCCTAAAGCGAAAATACACTCACCGGCCACTTTATTAGTTACACCTGTCCAACTGCTCGTTAACACTTAATTTCTAATCAGCCAATCACATGGCGGCAACTCAGTGCATTTAGGCATGTAGACATGGTCAAGACAATCTCCTGCAGTTCAAACCGAGCATCAGTATGGGGAAGAAAGGTGATTTGAGTGCCTTTGAACGTGGCATGGTTGTTGGTGCCAGAAGGGCTGGTCTGAGTCACAATGGATTTCCATCATTTGTAAAAGTGAAGGGTGTGTGTGTGTG